CTGCATCCATAACACAGTGTTTTGTTTCAGACTCCATTTGATTTCTTCCATTACCATAAAAAATAAATAAGGATGGAGTCGGAGAACACATATGACAGAGAATCCTTCAAAACTAGCCTCTCACCTGGAAACACACATTCTTTAGTTACTTTATTTGCACATCAGGAAATTCTCTGCACTTGCATCCTGAGTAGCTAGAGACATCTGAGGGCTCAAAAAAATCTGTCTTATTTTCCCAAGAATTCTTAACAAATAAAAATATAACAGTTGTTATTACTAATCTGCTTCCAATATTGCTAACACTCATACTCAAAGTAATTATTTTTTAAAAATCCCATTGAAAATACAGTTAAAATTGTACAGAATCTTCCAAGAATCTACCTTTTTTCCCTGGTGGGATTCTCATGCTTCTGATATCCCTTTGGATCCTCAACTGCTTTGGTTTTCCTCGGAGGATAAAGTGGCACCACAGGGTAGTTATAGCAAACAACCCATAGGATTAATTTTTTGCCAAAGACTATGATGGTGATGATGGAGATTTTCTTCCTCTCAGTCTTGGGTCTACTTGGAGTAATTTAATCACATATATGATATGATCTTTTCACTGGCTCCAAGGTAATCCAGGTTTCTGTTCTCCATTCTTACATTGTAAGGTGATTAGAAAATTTTTCCCAGATTCACGTTACTAAAACTACTTTACAAAGCATCATAATGTTACATGCAAATAATATCTAAATTCTGAATATATATTGTGTCTCCAAATGACATGTCATCTTTATTTTCACCATATTTAAACACTGGACTTTTAGAATTTCTATGGACAACAAGTTTTTCAGGATGAACATCCGATCTTTCTACCATAGAAAAGCTGAATAAATAAAAATATCTGTCAGCCTTTTCCTGCACTCCCAGAACTATCTGTAATCTTGGACTACACACATAACATGTCCATTTCATGTGGGTGTTGGTGCCTGACACCTAGTAAGACACTAGTAAGAACAAAGTAAACACATTCATTAGTATGCAATGTATTCATTTACAAATTTGTATCTCTGTTCTATGTTTGATAATGCTTTATAGCTGAACTGCATCATCTCAATCAAATACCCAAGTAGAATGTCACAATTCAAAATTATTTTTCTGCAGGATTGAGACAGAAAGAAGTGTGTTTTCTTCTCAGACTTTTGTAGACATTGTCTTTTAGCTCCCATGTTGTCTGGCTACATGAGCCGGTATCAGTTACTTATGGGATCTCCTTATGAGGTCAGGGAACACTAAATGAGCCAATTCCAAAATCAAAAAGGGAAAGAAGATAAGGAAAAGGTGAATGAAAATCCCACCAAAAAACAGAAAAAGAAAGTCCATCTGTCCTAGTGTAAATTTCTTCTGCCAAAGTGGTAGGCTACAAAGGAATGATTGAAAAATGTAACATAAGATGTAGGCACATCTAGAATTCCTAACGAATCCTGCCTGGCCTCCATCTTTCCAGAAGTACATGGATCTCATGTTGGTCCTATGTCATATCTACCAACTTTGTGCTGATGTTTCAAGTACCTCACACTGTCTAAAACTGCAATAGACAGTCCTCTGAATAAATCCATTAGATATTTTAAATTTAAAAAAAGTTGATACAAGTGGAATGAGATATGCAAAGAGAAAGTAAAGTGGAAAATTTCTGCAGATAAAAAACCCCTCAGCTTTGATGGGAAATTTAAATTTTAAACATATTTAATATGCAGATGATACCAGTTTAAGGAGATGACTTTTTGTTTTGCATGTCTTCCACCTTTTTTTTTTTTATTTTTACTGAGGTACTCAAACATTTAGTTGTGACTTCCATGAGGAAGTGGCAATCAGGCCTATGCACATGCATTATCTTACAGGTATTTTGCTACTTATCTAACATATCTGTGCTGCAGTTATGTTGCGCTTGCTATGTTTCATTTTAAAGGGCAATGAAAACTATTCTAGTTAACGTTGCTTGTAGAGTTTAACTCACATATAGGACTTTAACTCTGAGGTCAATATCTTGTACCCAATGAATAATACTCAAGTATTATTTCAGTTGTCTAAGTGAATTACATTACATTCCTTTCTGAAAATCTTTGGTGTTTTACTGAGTGATATTTGCATGTGATTTTCTCCTAATTAAAAATTTTGATTAATTTTTCATCTACTAAACCAAGAGTAAAACCTCTGCATTTCTTCCTATCAATTTAAGTATAGCAGCCAAATTAAAGAAACAAGCTGATCCTTTCTAAGTGCAGCATAATGATGGTTATACAAGGCCCACCCATGAAAGCTAAACGGTATCAAATGGGTCTTATAATGGTCTGTTTTTCATGAGGAGCTGTAATGTTTGCTATGTTAGTAATATGTGTGTTCAGTTTAAAAATCCCCTACCCATCTAAGCTGTGCATGTGTGCCACTCATTAAATTAAATACTTGGGGATAACTATGTATTTATTTTCTACTGGATATGTGTTTATATCCACAAGTCTTTAAAATTATTGAGTAGCTAAATAGATATGAGCAAGACCTACTGTGTGATGCAAGTTAAAGTCCTATGCAAATTACTGTTTTTGTTTTACCTTAGATCAGCATATTTTGAAGTGTTGATGCTTTCCAGTGGATTAATGTATTTTTTGGTCAGTGACCAAAGCGTTGAGAAAATTGCATTGATACTGACTTATCAAAGAATTATGCACATGCCTGTTTGGGAGACGTGATCATTTTGTTACTTTTTTTTATTGTTAGAAAAGAAAAAAATTCTCATAATCAAATAAAAAATACATTTCCATAATCCTAAATATTCTGTAAATAATTCTGCACCTTTTCATATTAATATAAATTCTTTAATCTAGTCTTGGCTTAGTGACATTATTCATAAGGTTGCCAATGATAAAACAAAGAATAGGTTTCTAGATACACTCACTGATTACTTGCTACATATAAAATATGTATATATAGTTCTTTATGGGCTATTGCTTCTTTTGTTTGTGGTTTTAAATTTTCTGATTATGTGATGTGAGTACTATTATCATTTAGCTTTCATACCTGTCATGACTATAACCAATGACATACATTGGCTATTGTATTGTGGTGGAGTTGTTGTGTTTTGTTTTGGTGTTTGTTTTTTTTCAAAGATTGCTTAAGAAAAAACATCTATAGAATAGCATTAATTTAGAATATCAAGGACACCAAGTAGATAGGCATCAACGAACAATATAAAAATTTTTAGGATCCCCACAGAAAATAAGTCTCATGGTAAATTACTGGCACATTACATAGAACTAATCTAAAGGTATCCTAAATTTAAAAATAAACAAAACATTAAATAAATGTTAATATTGCAATCAATTTTTTTTTAGCAAATAATTTCCTGACCTTTTGAATTCTGGGCTTCTCATCATTCTATGTCCTTCTCACTGATGAGACTAGAAATACTGATAGTGGCAGGACATAACTCATCAGTTAATTTGCAGTTTCAGAACAAGACTGAGACTGAATTTTAGTACAAGCAGCAGCAAATGTATTAAAGGACCAATAAACAGCATTGGTGTTTGTAATACTTCTATCAAACAAAATTAAATATATATACCATTTAGTACAATAAAAATATTAGAGTTTACATGGGTTCTTTAGGTGTCCTCAAGACCAATCTATTTAGCTATATATAAAGTTGTATTTAAAAAAAGCAAACCACAAACCAATACCAAACCAAAACAAAAAAAACCCCAACCCAACAAAATAAACTAAACCAATCCCTTCCAAAACCTAAAGAAACAAATGACCACAATGAATTTGTTCTAAGAATGGAAAGGAAAAATATAAATCTTGAGCAACCTGGACGAACTCTGACTTCAAGCCCATTTTGAACACTGGATTGAACTACTTGAGCTCCACAGGTCCCTTGCAATCTAGATTTTTCTGTTATTCTAAATTCAAAGTAAAAAGTACAATAAGGGATCATCTACAAACACATGAAAATAATTTTCATGTCAATCATTAATAAAATAAGTCATCCTAATCTGCTACACAATGTTTCATACATGGCTAACTGGGCTCTAAAGATGTGTCTAGATTTCACTGAGTATAAACAGCTGAATTCTTCAACTTGTTCTTTAGGCAATTTTGACAGGTAAATACTATGGGCTTTGTTGATCTGATATGAACCCTGACGAGGTTATTCTCCTAGAACTGAGGAAGTTAAGTGTTTGCACATGAACATCAAATGAAAAGAATGTGTAGAAGTAAATCTCAGCAGAAAATTTCAGCAGTGCTGAGTACACAAAAACTTTCCTTTCATCTGTATCTCAGACATAGTGGTTTTAATAGAACAAAACAGAACCAAACATACAAACAACACCAAACCCACAAACTCTAACAACAATGTAATTCCTTGCAAGAGAGCTTTCTTTATGAATGTGTGATTTCACAATGATGCTCCTGGCATTTCCTCTGAGTTGAAACCAGAAATTTCTTCTCTGAGGCTAAAGTGCATAGTTTAAATTTTATTAAATTCCCTCATTAAAGTGAGTCATGGTCCCCTGTCTTCCACCATATTATTGTGTAAAAGTTCAGCCACTACAAATTTGAACAGAGACCTGTGTAAAATATACACTGCAATACAATTTTGAAAATAACTCTAAAGAGTGTAAATTGTCTAGTGGTTTGTGATTTGCTTGATTGTTTTATTTCTTTCATCTACTGATAATCTGAACCATTTTTAAAGTTCAGTTTCTATATCTTACTATCATCTATACTAAATACATTTTTCTCAAACTGATGTACCTTACCTGGTTCAGTGTCCATGAAAAACGGGCAAATTTAACATGAATTCCTCAATTATCATATAAAAATCATTTTTTCAAGTAATATAAACTCCATACTTTTAAGTCAGTTGTCCTTTCCATGGTTAAATATTGTTTGATGGCAACCTGTCACACAAATTTTTTTTTCAGACAATTAATCATGAGTTGTGCTTTTTTGTTTCTTAGGTTAACAGGATTTCATCTTCCTCCACCTGTGACAAGTACAAAATCTGTATTTTCACTCCGCTTGACAAGTGACTTCGCAGTTAGTGCTCATGGGTTTAAAGTTTACTATGAAGGTAAGATATTCTTAACAAAATATTCTGGGTTGTTTTTTTTTTATCTTTCTGATCTCTATACATAACAAAACTAAATATCCCACAAAAATGTATACAAATACACATCTAAAACCTTATTCAAGTTGCAGTATTTGCTTTTCATGTGATCATTCAGATGCATAGTTTCACATCTGAAACTAAAATACTTAAAACTCTACCATCTATAGTGCCATCCAGACACAAATTTTTATGAGTTTACCTTTAAAAATGGCATATCATTCAAGTTCTGAAAAACTTAATCATAATCTTTCTGATCCTTCTAACAAAAACTTATTCAAATTAACATCAACTTATTGCTAGTTACTCTTGAATTTCTCTAGATAGTGGAATTTGTATCTGAAAGTTTTATGAATGGATTCCTTCTCATATGTTGACATAGGATAAATGCTGACTCAGTTCTCTGAACTATATAAAGCTAATTCCCTATTGCAGTTTCCACAATTATCTACAGTTTTCACACAGACACTGAAGTAAATGAACTGGAATATGTATTCCTGAAGTCAAGAAGTTCATAGTATTTTATGTATATTGCAGGATGATTCTTGTTTATAACCAAGCTCACTTGAGTAGTGTTTCAAGAGTCGGTTTATATCATGCATTCTTTTTCTTAAATCTGTTTCTTTGTACTGGGACTCTGAACTCTAACTTGTGTTTATAGGATATACAAAGAAATTGTTGGTTTTCTCTTTTCCCTTGCTCTTGTTCTTTGTGATTTGTTTTAGTGGTTTTTAAAATGATTTTATTTTATATTATTTTTATTTTTATTTTTGTGGGTTTTTTTCCTGTTTTGTTTTTTTTTTTAAAGACATTTGGTGTAAAGACACTTGCTCTTTCTGCTTCCAGTAAGTGTCTCCATCAACAAGACAGTAGCTGTAACAAGCTGCCCGGAGAAGTTCTGAAGCCATTGTTGTTCCCTGCTTGGTCCCCTCTGCAACAGAAACTAATCTCTGAGAAAGTAACTAGCTGAGTAATACTTTGATAGCTAGGAAAATATTCAAAAATTAGTAATGCAATGGAGAGTGACCATGGAAATATAACCCAGAGTCACTCTGTAGTAAAATATTTTCAGCCATCGGTATAGTTTATCTTCACGTATGATGCATTAGAATACTGCTTAATATAGGAATTCCCTCCTATATATCAAGATATGAAATGAAAAACATAACATAATATTCAGGCTTTTCTTGCCCCTTGAGATATAGAAAATAGCTGAAGTGGTCACGCACCATCTTTTCTTTCTGGCTTACACAAAAACCAGATATAATCTACAAAATAGAAATTTCATAGAAAATGTATGTTTTGGCTAGTTTGTAGCTACTCTGCAGTCTGTTAATTTATCAAGTATTCAGTAACTTTGTTCAGCATCGGCATTATTACAAAAATGTTCTATTAAAATGTACTATGCAATTCCTATGGTTTTTTAAGTATGCAAATTATAAATCTCTCACAGGTGTTGAATTCATTATATATGTTATCAGGTGTTCTTATAAACTGTTTGGCAAACGATTTTTGCACTACTAGAGCTAACAGACAACATACTATGCATCTCAATTATGACAAAATAATTAAATCCAAAACAGAAGATCAACAATAGACTAGTTTGCACATATGAGTGACTCCTCACATAGTGCTTTTCTAGGTAAAAACAGCATGTTGATTAATAGAACTCAAGCTCCTAAATTATTGTCAAGTCTAGGGAAATTTTGCCTTCAACCATAGAAATCAGCATTTTTGAACAAAACATAAACTTTTTGCCTTGATCTTGATATTCTTTTTTTTTTGAAACTGAGGTTTTATTTTCTGAAATTAGGAATTTGAAGAAATTAGACTAGATCCCAGAGTTTTAATTCAATGATCTTTCCATAGCCAGACCTCCTTTTTTAAGACTTGCATCAAGGCAACTTCATTCAGTCTGAGAATTTTTCTGTAAATACCCATTTTTCTGACTGCCTGTGAAGCTACCTGTCTTTAAAACCAGACAGCAAAGAAATGAAAGCCCATTACATTACATTACATTACATTCATTTCATGCATCCTTCCTTGATGTGAGAGAATAGATGTGTTTAAATGATAATCACATAGGGGCAATTTCCATTTCTTGTCTTGTACTCTTTGTGAATGTGTATAACCTTGCAATCAACATTTTAAGTTCTGGTTCTTCCTAGTATCCAATTTTCAAAATTTTTGATTGCCCAGTACCTCCTTCTTAGCTTCCTGATGAAACATCTGCATACTTAGTACCCCTAAATATCAGATCACATAATTTCATGCTTCATTATGGATTTGTAATTTGAAATTTAAGACAGAAATAATTATCAACCTGTCATTGCAATAAAGCAAAATGATAGAGATGGCATGAGAGGATAAGCTGAGCAGTAGAGACATATGTCTGAAGGGATTAGATCCCATTGTGATTTGAAAAAGAGGGAACATGCCTTTCATAATCAGACATAATATAAAACACTTTGCTTTGAAGTTCTTGGAAATAGAAAACAGAGGTAGGTGGTTATATGGAATGCATTACTGTTCATTATTTAAAAAAACCCAAAAAAAAAACCAAAAAAACCCCACACCAAAACCAAACCAAAACAAAAAAACCACAAGGCCTGCAAACATCTCTTTCTCTGACTTATCATGCTCTTGACAAATTTGCAGCTGAGCTGAAAGATGACAAGAAACTCCAGAGTACCTGACAGAATCTGTAGGAAATATGAATATGTTGTGGATTTTCTTGGTCATAACACAGTGGAACATAGTAATTTTCTAATCTCCTGAGAATAAAAATGTGTATGAAATGACATCAAATTATATCATTAATAGAAAAAATATGCTGATCCACCATATGGAAACCATTCCAACTGCATTCAGTCAAACCAAGTACATGAGAGACCAAAGCTTGTTAAGCCCACTCTAGCTTGTTAACATCAATATCATAAGCCTTAGTTTTTACTCTGTGTCCCACCATCCATCTCTCCTCTCCTTCCTTTTCTCCTCACTCTCTTTCTTTCCTCAATATCAAGTGGCATATTTGAGTTATCTTTGGTACCACTATGCACATACTTCTTTATGTTCAGTTTCTTTATTATTTGGAAAAGAACACATCTGATAAATACACCTCTCTATCTAGCACAATACCCCTGGAGAAAAATTATTCTGTTAGAGAAAACTGGAACAGATTACCCGAAAGAAATAGACATCACTTACAGTGAGAACAGAAATCAGTGAGATGCATTGAAATTTAATGAGGAATTTTAAGGAAAAAATGGAACTGTAATAATTACCAGTAGTAATTTATAATTTTATTTTTGTCTAGTGACACGGCATTGGTGGTTGGAGTGAGAAATGGAAGTTCTATGTTTCTGATTCTGTGATTGTTTTTTTTCTGGAAAGGTTTCTGGCACTGTTTTGTTTTTTTCTGTTTGGGATTTTTTTTTTTTCCCAGTAGCTTTCAGGCTCTGTGCAACACATGTAGGTATTAATGTATGGAGGAGAAATGCTATACTTAATCATCTATTTGATAATTTAAGCTAAGTCACAGTGCAGCTGTGTCCTTTTTTATTTTATTTCTGATGAGATTATTTGGTTTCGAAATAGAAGAATTTGATGCACTTTTCCATTTCCTGTTTTCCTAAGATACATGAGCAGCCTTATTCATTGAGAACACAGGAGGGGAAATACAGCTGCTGAGAAAGAAAGCAGCATATCGACTTGACCCATACAGCTTAGGCCTAGTCCTGCTTTGAACAGTGCTTCTTTTTGTTCTTACTCTGTTATCTTATAGCTGCTAAACAGGTAGCTGACATTGCTAAGTCATTGACTTCATTAAGAAATTTTCTGCTAGAATTTATGATAACCCTTATTCAATATGATAGGCATGTTTGTGCTATCCTATTGGTCATGGCAAAGAAAATAATTTAATTATATAGATTATCCTTATAGTGAAAACTCAGAATATCCTGGAGTTGAATTGAAATTATTGATAATAGCGGTATGAAATGTAAATTTTTCTGGTTTTTACTGCTGTACATTATTTTAAAGCTGAATTATAAAACTGAATTATTAGACACTGTATAAATAATGAAATGGTATTCATGTTCGTACTGTACTGCTGCTGTTTGTACTTGACTGTTTTTGAGAGGAGTTTGACAACAATGTTAAAAATTTCAAGAAGGATCAGATCTTTATGGATAATGGGAGATGGGGAAAGGAAAGAAGGTAACAGATGGTGTTTATTAACAGAATAGGATTTCCATCGAGGGACTTCTGAGGACCTACCATGCATTTCTTTCAGCAATATAAAGAAAAATTGGTAGCTGATGTACAGGCTTATTGAAGCATGTAGATCAGAAATACTAGTAGGACTTAAATGTGCCAGGATGTGGATGCTAAAAATAATTTTGGCAGTTGGTATAGAATGAACAAACAGGATAACCTATTTTTAGCTCTCCTCCATATCAGAATTCAGAAACGTGGCTACACATAATCTAAATCTTGGATTTAGGTGATGTTCATGAAGTACTAACTGTATTAAGCTAATAATATCACTGCTAACTTAGTATAAAATTTAAAGGAATACTAATGAATTATTATTTAGTGTTAGAGTCCACTGAAGAATTTTTTGCCAGTTTGGAGTTGTAAAAGCCACAGACTTTAAGCTATAGCGTTGTCACCAGGCTTACTACCTGATAATATTATAGACTCTTTTTGTTGCTGTTTTGATTTTGCCATAACTGTGGTGGGTATGGCTGGCCTCTATCATTGCATTGCTTCAGCAAACTCTTAATAAAAGTGGAATTAAATTGAATTTACCTAATATTTTGGAAAAGGAAGGGAAAGGAAGGAAAATTTAAACAGAGAATGATTAAATTACAGAAACAGATACATTTGGAACGGAAACTCCTGTTTTGACAACCAAACTTACTAAATCTAACTAGAAAACATGCTAAATATAAGGCAATCGA